ATGTACAAATGCGCTTTACACAATTGATGTGTGTATGGATTGTGATAAGAGTTGTATGAGCCCCTAATAAAATGATTAAAAAATTAAAAAAAAAGAAATGCAAAAAAAAAAAACCTTGACTGAATGCTCACCTCATTGAAAAAGTGTCAAGGTTGAACCGTATTTAAAAAATGGTTGATGAAATCAATTTCCCTGTGCCTTCATTCACTGAGTCATTAAAAAATTATATTTAGAGCCTCATAAAATGTTTCCAATGGTTTTCTGACTGTTCTAAAGATCTGAAGTAAATGATTCTCTGCTGCCTCAAATGGAAAATAGTAAGATAGGATATGGATTCAATTTCCCTTAGAAGACATATGTACTTTTTAAATGTTAGAAAAGAGACAGGCGAGGGCAAAAAAGTTTCATGTTCTCCCAGACTCAAAGGTGCAAAATGAAAGCGGTTTGAAAAATCTAAACTATGACCTGGACTGGCTCAAAACACCCACTGCCATCGAGTTGATTCTGATTCATAGTGACTCCAGAGAACAGGGTAGAACTGCCCCATTTCTGGGAGCAGAATGCCCCATCTCACTCTAGTGGAGTGGAGTGCTGGTGGGTTTGAACTGCTGATTTTGTGATTAAAAGCCCAATAGGTATGTTCCAATGCCACCAGGGTTCCTGGACTGGCTAATTACATCCAATGTCCTCACAAGTAGTCAACATACTTATCTACACCCAATGTCCTCAGGATGCCACCCTCATATCGACACTTAACGTCCTCCAGCTTGTCGCCTCCTCCAGCTTTGTTTCCAGAGGCCGTCTCACCCGCCAGAGGAAGGAGGTGCAGTGGGCTCTGGGGGTGGGAGGGTGCGGGAGGCAACAAAAGCCAGCGTCTATATCACAGGGGAAGCCACCAGGAGGCTTTCCCAGATGCCTGCTCACGGAGCACCTCTCTGCCTACAGACCCTTCCTGCCCCTGACGCTTTGCTCCAATCACATGGCCTTTCTGATGCTCTTCCAACTCCCCAAGAGCAATCGTGCCTCAGGGTCTTTGCATTTGCCATTCCCACTGCTGGGTCTGCTCTTCCCCAGATTCTCCCGTCCGCTTTCCGGTCATCTCAGTAGCTGTGGGAATGTTACCTTCACAGACCACCTCTGGTCACCCTTTCTAAAACACCAGGCCTCGGCATGCAACTCTCAGTGACAGGGAGAACTGCACTACTGGGTTTTTAAGGCTACCATCCTTACAGGATCTCACCAGGGCTTTTCTTCGGTGGTTCAAACCACTGATCTTTGGTTAGCAGCCAACTGCTTAACCACTCTTTCCCTGCTGCTATTAGGTTGCTGTTATGCCGGTTCCGACTCAGAGCAATCTGATGGACAATGGAGCGAAACTCTGCCCGGCCCTGCACCATCCTCACAACTGTTCATCGTTGCAGCCACCGTGGCCACCCATCTTGCTAGAGCCTTCCTCTGTGTCCCTGACCTTCTACTTTACCACACATGATGTCTTTCTCCAGGGACTGGTCCCTCCTGACGGCATGTCCAAGATCTGTGAGACAAGCCTTCACATCCTTGCCTGAGGAGCACTCACAGTTGCCTAGTTTCAGTCTTTTTCTCTACTATGAGACAGATTACAGTGTGTGTGTGTGTGTGTGTGTGTGTGTGCGCACATACACATCAGAACACGATATATGTGTGTATACCTATTTGTATATGTGTTCATACATATGTCTTTGTGCGTGTATGTTGATGAAAGTCTAGCCCACTGGAATAAATGCCTAGGAAGGTCTGACTCATGATAGCACCTCAGTAAATATCTGCTGCATTAGGAAATGAATCAACATGGGTTCATTGTGGATCAATGCTTAGGAATCAGATCCAAATCACATTAGACTTATAGCCCCGTCCGAACATGAATGGTATAAAAAGATATCAAACAAGTTAGGCAGGCTGGGTGACCGACCCTTTCCCAGCAGTAAGCTTAATGAGGAAGGCGAATGAAAGGAAGTGGTGCCCTTGAGGAGTCCTGGTGGGGGTCGGGTAAGTGCTGGACTGCTAACCTCAAGGTTGGCAGTTCAAAATCACCAGCCACTCTGAGGAAGACAGATGAGACCGCCTGCTTCTGTAAAGATTTACAGCCTTGGAAACCCTGTAAAGGTTCGCTGTGAGTCAGAATTAACTCAGGGACGGTGGGGTATGTGCTCTGGGCAAACTGATTAAGTTGATTCCAATCCCTGCACGAGTCTCTCTTCTCTCTGATGTGGGCACCTGGCACTCGCACGGGCTGTGAGTCTTCTCCCACAGTGTTGTGATGACCGTTCACCTGTCTTCCTCTTTTCCTAAGTGGTGCATCAGCTGGGAACGTTTGCCTGGGAAGTCAAATCACGTTCATCTTTCCTTCTGTGCCGAAGACCTGGATTGAACTCTCAACTAAGGCACCTCAAGCACAGCTGACAGCTTTCTGTCAGGGGAAGCTCGATGCAGAACACACTAAGACATACTAGGAAGAAAGGCCTGTCTGTCTATTTACAAAAATCGACCCAGTGGCAATAGATCACATGGATGGGGCCGGATGAGGCAGTGCTGGGTTCTGCCGTCATGAGGTCACCATGAGCCAGGGGCCCACTCCGCGGCAGCAAACAACAGGAAGTACAGAACAAGGGCTCAATCAACGTCTGTTGAGAGCTGTTGGATTGAAAGATGCCAGGATCAGGTGAGGGCTGAGGAGCCAGGACGCAGCACCCAGCGTGTGGACTGTTCTGAGCAAACCGTAGCCCGTACCTTTCTATGCCACTGAGTTTATGGCGGTGCTTCCTGGACATGAGCAGCCCTCCGCCCCACGCAGCCTGTGAGGACAGAGAAAGGAGAGGAGGAAGGCGGTGGTGAGACTCTCACACCAGTCACACCACACCCCTAATCAAACGCGCGAGAGTGTCAAACGTGTGTGAAGTGCTAAGGAACGGAGACTCTCCTGGGGCCAAGTGAGCCCACACAGATGGTTCAATCGGGCGTGGTTGTGCTTATTCCTCCTTCTCCTTGCTTCTCCCACCAGTTCATCAGGTTAACTTCCGAGAAAGTGAGCCAGTGAAGGGTGTGAACCTGTGGGGCCCGAGGAAAGCCAGAGACGCTGGGCAGAGCCCCGGGGACCGCTCTGGAAGCACCAAAGGCCTGGAGCCTGACCGCTTGCTTCCTGCAGAACCGTCAACAGGCCAGAGCCCAGCCCTTGCTGGGACAGGTGGGCTGACAGGTGGACTGACAGGAGAGGAAGGCAGTGCTGTGTGTTTGAGGGATCACCTGACATAAGAACAGTCTTTGTTCCATAGCAGGGCAATTGGGCTGGTGCCCAGATGTGGGCAGTTAAGTCCTTCTGAGGAAGAAGAAAGACAGAGAAGGGAGGGAAGGAGGGAAGACCGGGAGGAGGGACCCAACTACACTTGGGGAAGCACTGAGTGTCCCTGGGAAAATTCCAGGCTAATTCTCTTCATAGATAACACCTCCTATAGACAACCTGGTTTTTGTTTTTCTACATGTATTATTAGCTTGGGGAAAGATGCCATAGGTGACGGGCTTGCAAACGTGCAGCCAAACATTCATGTCACTAGTATGAATTCACACCCTCGCGCTCTGGACACTCTGGCTTCCATTGCTTTACCCTTGAAATCTATGTTTCCCTCGGAAGCTGTTGTCCCCGGAGAATGAGGAAGAACACTTTTTCGGGGGAGCCGTGGAAGATACCCAGGGCCAGTCTGGACCCGGGGGAGCCCCAGCCTTTGCACCAGGATGGCGGTATGGATCAGTCATGAGTGGCTAGCTGGGGGCAGACAAGAGCTGGAAGGAATGTGGTGTGGGGAGTGGGCTGCTGGGAGTGGGAGGAGTTGGAGACAAATCACACAGCAGAGCTGCTTCCACCCCCCAAACAGCCCGGGCAGCTCAGTGAGTTATAGCACTTACATCGACATGCATCCAAAGGTTATATTTCTCACATATCTCTGCAATCTCCCGGATGGGATCAAAAGCTCCATACACAGTGGTGCCAGCAGTTGCATTGACATAAAGAGGAACATATCCCTACGAAGGAAGAGAGATCAGCAGATGAGTCTCTAACTTTTCTCACCTGCTCATTTCCACACGAAGTAGAAGAACGGCAGAGGCATTTGTTTTCCACACAGATCACCTAAGCTGGGCTGCATTCGCTCCTGGATCAGGTGGTATCTGTTTAACCGTTTAGCTCACACATTCAACAAATCCTCCTTGAGTGACTGTACTAGGCCTGGCCCTGGCGTAGAGGTTGGGGACACAGCAATGCGCACAGGGGACGAAGATTTCTGTGCTCGTGAGCTTTACATTTTAGTGGTGGAGGGCCAAGCAATCAATACAATTATGTAGGCAAACTGCACAGTATGTTTGGTAGGGATAAGTTCAAAGGAGAAAAATAAACCAGGAAAGAGTCATTATCTGGAGGGATGGGCAGGCATTTCTGCCAATCATCTGCACTTGGTTCTTTTGAGTGTTCTTCGAAGTTTATTGGCCTACTCATTAGAGCCAAGTGTTGTTTGGTTACTTAAAATAGGTTCATGTGTGAAAACGAAAAAGCTTATGCACAGTAAACACAGTAGCATTTTTTTTTCACAGTAGCATTTTTACATGAAACAAGGGAATGCGGAAGTAAAGTGACAGAAGTAAGACAGGCTAGGCACACTCTAGAGTTTTTTGAAGTTCAGCCACACCTCCAACCCTGGGCCAGTCCTCCCAACGTTTCCAGCCCTCTCCTCTCCTGAGGCTCGAGCAAACAACTAGGAAGAAGGAGGTTCAAGAATGGGGCCCCAATGTGTGTGATCAACGGCCTGGCAGCATCTGGTGGTGACTTGAGGATACAGCTGCTCTCTACAATTGTTGTTGTTTAAGAGAATCTGTCAAGGTCGGATTCGCCAAATATGATGGCTATCTGGGAGATCTTTGCTAGACAGAATCCGAAGCTAAAATGATCTTTGAAAGCAAGTGGAAAAGCTCAGTGAGATGGTACCTTCATGACGCTCAGAGCCTTGATCTAGTTCTGAAAGCCAAACAAGTCAGAGGACAGATGGTTTAATGACGAAATTTCATTTTGCAATAACAAAACCGAAAAAAAGGAATTGTGGAGATGACTTAAAACGCAATCATCTCATGAGTGGGGAGTATGAAAATATCTGAGACTAGAAATTTAGAAATTCACTAAGATGATCCCACAAACTCTCAAAGGTGTTTATTGTCTGGGGGGAAAATAAAAGTATGTTTTCAATATTTGCATTCACCTTTTGCTTGGCTTCAAGAATTTTTGCCTCTAAATCAGCCGGAATTATCTTCCCCCTGTAATTAGTATAAAGGGAAAGAAATTAAAATGAAGAATCAGTGAGATTGCACAAACACACACACACACACACACACACACACACACACGACTTCAGCAGCAGCAAAAAATAATTTAAAGCGGATATTTTCAACAGACCATTAGCAGCTTGGCACCCTGTACTGCGTCAGTCCTTAAGCACAATAAAACAAATTTAACAGATGAACACTTTTAATGCATCAAGAGCCTAATAGTCACTCTGCCCTGCCTACCTTTCATCGCACTTTATCAAAATCACATGGTCGGTTCCAAAGCCAAGGGCAGCCCCGGCCTTCTTTATGGAATAATGACTCTGCAACAAACAGGGGCTGGATGTTAGAACTCGGAATCCCGGGATTCAAAACAAACAAAACGACAGCTCATGTGCAGGAGCCCCAACTCACGTGTTCTGAGGTGAAGAGGACCAGCTTGGGCACAGCGGCCATGCCCTTGGTCTTAACTTCTGGGAAGTACTTGTAGCGAGCGGCCATGATGCTGTACATGTTGGAAATGGCGCCCCCTAGTGGTAAACAGACACAGTGGCAGGTGTTGGGGCTCTCACTATGGTTTTCTAACTGCGAAGGCTGAGCCGAAATGTCAAGGGCAAGAGTGGTGGGGAAGGGAGACTATCCTGAGAGATTCTGCTGGTGTCTGTTGGCAGAGCTCTCCTCTGGACCCTTTGCCCCAGCAATACAAGCAGCCAGGCTCCATTATCGATGCCGGCGAGGCAATTTGGCTGGAGGTGATTCAGAGACTCCAGTGCCCTTCCTGCCTAAAGCCTCGACGGAAATATAAGAGGTGGCGGTTGCAGTGGTTCCAAAGAGATGGGTGAATTACAACCTTCCTGCTTCCACTTTCTGCTCAATCCATTTACTGAACCAAGATGAATCTGTTCCCCGAGTCAGAGAGACAGGGCAAGGGAGACTCATGGAGCCTACCGAAAGAAGCAATGACATTGCTTGCTTACCTGCCTCGGCGCTGGCCTCTAACAACAGCCCAATTGAGTTAGCCATTTAGGAGTTCTAGGTGTTAAAGTAAAAAACAGGCTTGCGTTGACCTAAACAAAGGCCCTAAGAGAACGGAAGTCACTAGGCATGTTTGGCCGACACACACTAATGATAAGAAAATTAGTGGTCTGCTTACATTGCCCGGAAAATTGCCATTCTTGTTTCTTCTCTTCTTCTGCATTCTCACACTGTTCTTAATGCCCTAGATAACTTGCCCCAACCTCCAGGAATATTTGTCCTTGTTTTGAAAGATTCTTTTGGTGCCTACATGAGACTTGAGAGTCAAAGCAGAGATAACATTTGGGCTGAGAGGCACCAGGTAATTGATCATCTTGACTCACTGATGCCCAGCTTAGCCAAACTGCTTTTGATAGAAGAGCGTGGCTTAGCATGGTTCAGGCATAGTCTTTCTTAGATTGAACAGGGTTAGACACCATCTTTGTTAGCTAGCAGACCTTGATTCTGGCATTCTTGCTAAACTTTATTCCAACAAAGAGAGGAAGGCGGGAGTATCGGGAGAAAACCATTTGTTTTTTGTTGTTGTTTATTTGCTTGTTTCAAGGTCACCCATTCAGAGAAACGTACCAGGAGAAAATATGCCATCACCGTCTTGACTTGACCATCCAACTATCTCTCTCATCTTCTTAAGCGTTATCTGCTCCATGAGGACAAACACGGGGGCGATCTCATATGTAAACCTAGAGAGGCAGTGAGCAGAAAAGAGCGGAAATAAAGAAGGCAAGCCAATTATCGTGAGCTTAGTACCTGCACTTGAGTTCTAAAAAGAGTTCAAAAGCACTAAAACAATTCATTCCCTGGAAATACATGAAGTTGCAAATCATAACATGTCAGAAACCAGGTGTACTCAGAGAGGCAGGGAAAGCCTCCCTGTTTTGTGATTCGTCAACAATGACATCGCTCCTCATCTGAATGGGATGGCTTTTTCTGGGAGCACGCAGAAAAGCAACGAAAGAAAAGGACTTTTCTGGGCCCCTTTCACCACTAAGATTGCTGCATGAAGCAACTATGAATAGGAAAATGTCATCTACATTTTACATGAATCAGATTGCAAAAAGTGTTTTTTCCTTACTACCCATTTCACACTTGTAGAACCTACAAAACCCCAGAGGCAAACTCTAACTTTAAAAACAGTGTGAATAGCTGAAAACTGTGAAGATAATTGGGAATATTGACCTAGGATTTAAAGAGCTCAATAGCATTATCTACCTGGCTTTTCTACTAAGAATCCCTAAGGAAAACTGTTTCTGTAACTCTCTGAAGTCAGTATCTGTCAAGAATAATTATAAACGATGATACTCTAACGACCAATTATAAATAACATGGAGACAATCCACTGGCACACACAGCTAACTGTGGCCATCAGATAGCCCAGGAGATGAAGGTTGTCTTCTAACCAAAGGAGTTTTAAAAGGATCAGGCTGGGCTTTTCTCAAAGCAATTCAAAACCTAGGCTCAGTCTGGTAGCCTAGTCATTGATACAAGAACAAGGCAGCAATCATAGGGTCTAGAGTAATCAAGGAAGGTCCATCCACAGAAAATTCAGCCAGAAAACAACAACAACAAGAAAAGCTCTTTGTTAAGCTCTAAGGCCATTTGTTTTTCTTCTGTTGCCATGCCCTTGTTAACATTATAGTCTATGGCCTGGGCTTAGACCTTCCTTGCTGAAGACGGATGCCTAGATGCATTCAGTGAAGGGATATGGTAGTGGTGTGTGTGTGTGTTGGCGGGGGAAGGTTACTATTGGTTAGAATGTTTGGGCTGAGTGCCAGTGTTGAGCGCTAATGGGGATTCTTGCTAGCTTAGCCATTTAGAAAAGCTATTTTCAAGGATGAGATAACTATTGTGTATAAGACACAGGTGAAGCTACTCATGTTTAACCATGGAGGAAATGCAATTAATCACATGGCTGTGGAAGAGGACATGAAGGTGCTGGAAGGTCCTCAGGATAGGTCTGTTGGTAGAAGAATTTTTGTTTCCAAAAAAGAATATGTCCATTTTCCATGGAAAGCCCCTGAAAATTTAGAAGGAAGACCCTTGGAAATCATGTATTCAATTACCATCACCTCTGGAGGTCACAATCATGCTTTGGTCCTGCTCTGAGCCCCATCACCGTAGCAACCAACACTCCCTCATGTCTGATGGCCTGACAAAGGAAGAAGAAGAGAAGGATTCCTGGTTTAGCCTGTGCTGCGGAGTGGACCAAGAGACAAACGCACGATGTGCTTCTAATCATATTTGAACAATGTGTTACCCATGGTTCCATTCAAGTTTTGGATAACAGGTAATGGCACACACACAAAAAAGTTTGCATGGTGAGGCAGTCCTGGTGGCGGTATAACTGCTCGAATCTCAAAAGACCAAATAAGCAGGTACTCTGGGGTTGCCCCGGAGGTAAGACAAGGAAACAATAAACGCGTTCACCATACTATCGAACCTTCTCGAGGACTGAAGGAAAGCAGGGGGTCAAGTCACTGTCCGATGGCCAGGCAGGAACCATCTGAGAAAAAGAGAAGGGCTGAGATGGAGGCAAATTATTGCTCCAGCTCTGTGCTTCCTGGATGAAATGACTGGGCCCCAGGTTTGCACGGATTAGCCTTCCTACCCAAGGACTAGGAGGTGACCAGTACCCGCAGGATTAGGAGGAAGAGTTTAGAGAGTTAGATCGCAGGACTAGCTTCTCTGTTTCCACTTCTGTATCTATGCCTGGAACCCATTTCCAAGCCTTTCTCTCAGTTGTTTAACAAAGGCTTAGTCAATGACTGCTCTCTGCCAGGCGACAGCTTACTGCCTGAGGAGACAAAGACGTTTAAGACGCTGTTTGCAACCTTGGAGAGGAAGCTTGCTAGGATGAATCCAGTACCTGGTTCTTGGCCTGAGCTGCATTCTGTTGGGTAGTCCCTGTCTGGACCTGAAGAACCATCGCTAACACTGGCTTATCCTGACTCCTGTCCTTAGTTCTGACCAAATGTCCTGGAAGCTGGTAGATGGGTTCATAAATCTCGCTCTTAAGCCAGGTCTGCCAGATGGGATGTTCCTGAAACTTCCTCTGGCCCTGCCTGATCATGTTGAGCTGTGTTTAAGAACAGGGAGTGTGCTAGCACCTAGCCTTACACAAGGCCGTAAAATGCACTGAGAGCAATGACTAACTGCCCTGGGGTCGTAGACTTCTTTTAGGACCCTAAGAAAGCCATGACCCTTCTCTCCAGGAAGAAAATGAGAATCTGCGCATCCTTTGGTATATACGTATAGGGGGTCTCCTCTCGCCGCCCACACCCCAGGCTGGGAACTTCTTCCCTCAACGATAATGAAAGCAGAGGAAGTCAAAAGATCATAATTCGCATGTAGATTCCTAAGAAGCGGGTTAGATGCCAATGTCAGAATACAAGGTTACATCTAAGAATAGGAGAACAAGAAACGAGGATTTAAAAAGTTGGACAATGACATTCATGGAGTGACCCCAAAGAAAGAGTTCAGAGCCTTCCTGTCTTCCCAGCAGGCCGGGAGCTGTCTTTTGGCAGTGGCTCCACTTACCTTCCCAGGGGTGTTCCCTCAGGACCAAGGCAAGTCAAGCTGTTGACTCTCACAGCACAGTTTCTAGTTACTGCCCTGTGTCAATGTTCGGGTTCTTCGTTGATAGCAGACCCACGTTTTCTTTAGGGCTGCAACTTACCCAGGTCAAAGATTACATTTTTGCAGGCTCCCTAAGTGGCCGAGGGTGTAAGCGGTGGGGATGTTGTGTGGGACTTGTGAGGGTCCTTAAAATGAAGGAGTGTGTCTCCATTTTGCCCTTGCTTCCTTGTTGGCTTTCTTCCTCCGATTTGCCTCCCCTCTTCCTGAATTCAGAAACAGACACATGATGGCGAGAACTTCGGCAGCCAGCCTGGACCATGAGGAGACTTTGAGGTTGAGAGCCACGTGGTACAACAACATGGATCAGAGAACCACGAGGAGCCTGGGCTCTCGGTGCCTGGCAAGCACCGAAAGAAATGATCTTCTCCATTGACTAGACCGACACTCCTTGTGGCCATTCCCTCTTTGCAGATGCGGTCTACAGATAGAGTGGGCAGTCTAACCTTACCCCAAAGGACCAGACACCTGAGGAGAACTTGGTGAGGGCCCCCAGGTGCAGGTATTTAGAGATGAGACAGAAAGGAATGAGCCAGAACCGAAGGGAAGCTCAAATCAAACCAAACTCACTCACTGCCACTGATTCCATTTGAATTCATAGCAACCCTATAGGAAGGATTGAGCAGAATTATGTTCTATGGGGTTTTGAGCCTGTAAATCTTTATGGGAGCAGAAAGCCTTGTTTTCCTCCCATAGGGCAGCTGGTAGATTTGAACTGCCAGCCTTGTGGTTAGCAGCCCAATGCTTAACCCACTGTACCACCAGACCTGCCAAACTGAAGGGAAGGGACCTTGAAGGGCAACAGCATGGCTGGCTTTCCTGGGTGCATGCACTGCAGGTTGGATACTAGCCCTTTAAGGCTGCAGCTTCAAAAATCATTTGGCTGGATGGGTGTGATTACCCCTCATTTTCCTGATGAAGAAATTGAGGTTCAGAGGAATTCAGTAATTTGCTTGAAGATCTCACAGGATGTTTCAGAGTCAGAATTCCAAGTCCTTTACTTCACAGCTGATCTTCTATGACAAATGGACACTGCTTTGTTCAGGTGCGTCTCTAACAATCTGCCGAGGGTATAAGATGACTGATAACCCCCCTAACGTGCTTCCTCGGTAATTTCTGCACAAACGCAGCACCAGAGGCTTGGGATCACAGCCTCCTAACACAAGAGCTATGGGAGCGCATGCATGAAGATTATGTATTCTTATGAGGTCAGAGGTTATAGAGGCAGACTGTTCTTAAAGCGGTGCCCTGCTCGACCGACATAACTGTGCGCGAGGGCTCTGTTTGGAAAGAAAATGGCTTGACATGCCCTGGACAATTACACTTAGCAAGTTGTCTTTGCATTCTCTATCGAGCCCTAGCTTGGAGGGTTCTCAGCGGAGTAAGCGCAGGCAGCCATCAAAGCAAGACCATACATATTCTTTCTCATCTGACAGCCTAACCTCACCCTTGGCACTTAGATTTGGTCAACTGGCCAGTTGTTGTTTTGTGAAAAAGGACACGGGTGATGCAGTTATTATTCTTGATTAACAGTGGCACCAAAGTTCAATAATGCGGGTGCAGGTCAGAAGATGAACCCATCACTAATTAAATCCTCTTCTGCCCAAGACGGGGCTCTGATTCTCGCCTGGACTCACCTGACGCAGCCATTGGAGAAGGCGCGGTCACAAGGGAGCTGGATCCTGCATATGCTCCCGACAGCACGGCCACATTTCGTGATCTTCCAAGGGGAATTGGCTTCAGATAATTTCTAGATAATAGGTATTACTTCTTCAGACAATGACTTGTCTCTAGAACTGACAGAAACTCTTGCACTAGTTTAAATAATCTTCTCTATCAATCAGCTGGAATCAGGTCAGATTTTACCAACATCCACTGTCCAGTACATCTGTAATTACTACGTGCCCTTCAGTTGGATTAGCCTTGACCGTGGATGCTGATGCAGCTTCATGTTTTATGGCTCAGCTGAGGCACGAGAAGAGTAAGGAACTTTGATTCTATGAACACTTTCCAAAGGGAAAATGTGCGGCATCTTTCTGTGCTTTGGGCTGCTAATTGCCAGGCCAGCTGTTTGCAGCCCCCAGCCCCTCTTGGGGAGAAAGACTGAGCTTTCTACTCCCGTGAAGAGTCTCCAAAACTCACAGGGGCAGTTCTACTCTGTCCTGCAGGATCACTATGAGTTGGCATCACCTTGATGGCAGTGATTTTGGGTGTTTTTTGGTTTTCTGTTTGAGAACAAGTCTTTTTGGGAGGGTGTCGGGTCATCGATGGTTCAGAGGACTGAGTTCCTTTTATCTACTTTGTGATCGGCTATTTATCGTAAGCACTAGCAGCTAAGTGGCTCACAGAATACACCCTTAGAGGCAATGGGTGAACTCAGTGCTTTTGTTGACACGGGCACTTGGACCTTCCTATAAATGTGCTTTTTACTCCGCTTTTCTCCTTTATTTTCCAAATGGTTGCGTTTTAAAAGACTGTACTTTCTAATTAAAATGGATCCTCTAACTCAGCATTAGTGGGCTGTTCCCCTCGAGTTGTAACTCGTGTAGTATGAGGTCTGGGCTCACTGCAACACTTTGACCCCACACGCCTTCATACAGTGCAGATGGCACCGGCGAGCTTTTCGTGGGAGGAGACCACAAAAGCCATGGTCTCTTTGCCCTGAATCCCTCCCCGGCTTTCAGAGGCCCCAGTGATCTGACATGAACCCCTGGGAAGTTATGCCATGACGTCATATAAGCAGGGATGAAAACGGTTTTCTTTTTCCAACCGTGGTCATCTTTTATGCCTTTGGCACAAAGGCCTTGGGAGATTTCACCATTGTGATCTTCCAAGAGCAAACAAAGCAGGGATCCTTAATTAACAGAAACGTTGACCCTGGATATGGTAGTTAGAGTATTAGAGACACAACATTCAGCCATTTTGGAATATGAAGATCAAGACATCACTTTAAAAGGTCCTTTAGGTTTTCGGGCTGGGAGCAGTTCATTTGGGAAATACGAATAACTTGCACCCTACAGTGACGTCAAACGGAATCCCTCATTAAGTAAGGAACACACTGCGTTCACCTGTCTTCACTGTTCTGAATCGATCGCGGGCCGCCCCTGGATAATGAACGGCTGATTTACAGGCAACCCCTAGGAAGAGCCAACCCCTGAGAAGCCTGTGAGGTGAAAAATTTGAGGTATACACATTGGCTCATAATAACAAGCAGGCATCTTTTACTTTGGGATGTGCATCACCACATTATTAATATCATTACTGTATGATTATGCTATAGATGCTCAGTGTACCTGGAAGTGTTCCTTAATGTTTCTGTTATGCATAGACAGGTACTCTGTCTACTACATAATAAGACAAACATTGACTAACTGCTGTTAGATAGGAACCAAACCGTACCTCACGATGTTGACTTCTGTATGAATTAGATTTGATGGCAGACTTAAGAACAAAGCTCACTCGTCATCCAGGGACAGCCTATATACTTATTTAGTAAGTTCATTACATAAAAGAAAAACCAGGTGGTTATTTTCTAAATATTTCCACGGTCACACGTGTGATTGTTCCCTGCTGCGGAGTCGGCTTGGACTCATGGCAAGCCCAGCGCACCACGGATCACACTATTGCGATCCAGGTGGTTTTCTGTGGCTCATGTCCAGAAGCAGCTCACCAACACTTTTCTCCTAGCCCGGCCGAGTCTAGAAGCTCCACTGAAACGATGCCACACCGGAGCAATATGCACGCCTTCACTGTGGCTGAACATGAAGTATGCGGGCTGGGGACTGGACCAGCTCTCACGTGGAAAGGGAGAATGCCACGACCGAGCCCCCTCTGCCCTCTCCCCAGCAACTGAGCCCCAGCTGCCAGGGCCCTGGAGTCCACTTCAAACACATTGACAAAAGCTTAGCAGCCAAACAAGATGGCCTACGTCAGTGAGTCTGGGGAAAATGTCAAATCCTGGAGAAAAGTTATTTGGAAAAGAATACATCACGTATCAGCTGAATTTTATTGTAGGCTCTTCCGTTAAGCAATCGATTAATTTGGTTGAACTGGTTTGTGGCTTTCAGGCAACTCTCATTACAGGGGAAATCTGAGAAGGATCAATGCACCTGGATGGGAAAATGAACCAAGATCACATCCCAAACATTAAATTGAGCAGGAGGAGACGTGAAGTCTTTTCACATGAAAATTCCATTACATTCAAGTTGGAAAGCTAAAGCTGTCATTTCTTACAACCATGCTATTCGTAAGTTACATTAGTCAATTCAAAAAGGGTTGCGTAGCAACTCTTAAACCAGGACTGGGATAAACCTAGATTTTCGAGGAAAAACAACCGAGACAACTTTAACAAACGCATAAAACCACTGGGACTGGACTTGTAAAACAAAAGCGACAGCCATACGTCACAGATGCTGACACGGGACTTACATGTTGGTATTGGCAGTTGATGTGAGCCATTCGCCGGCTAAGCCAATGACATCCAGTCCAGTGGAGAGCTGGTTGAAAAAGCGAGGGTGACCTGGAGAGGGAGTTAGAGGGACATCAAGGAAAATGCTGGCATTCAAGCTACTTTCAAAGCAAAAGGTCTACCTCACTGAGCCACCCATGGGAACCTCTATCCCAATGATGTTGCTGACAGAAAGACCCTAACTTCATTGAGGAGAAAGCAGGTTAACCCACTCTACACCAGCCCTTAACTTTCATGACATCTCCACAAACCTTTTCTGGTTTTTAAGGCACCACGCTGATAAAGAAAACAAACACAAGCACAATCTAGTATTATAAAACTGACTGTGATTTCCAACATCCTATCTGGCGATTTTCAGATGAACTCTTCTGTTACATTTATTTTAATTAGAAAGCAGGATGTGATCATCTTTCTTTTCTCCCTAAAGATTTCCATTTTTAATTGACTATTCCTAGGATGATAGGCCCCAGAGAAGGCCTGTGACTTTGTGGGCCAAACCAAGCCTGGCCACAGTGCAGCTTTGATGCTGTGGCTGTGGGCATAGCACCCCTCTCTGGGTCTCTGGGCCCGTCCAGTAAGTATGACATCCATGACGTATGGATGTGCTTTGCCCACGTAGAGTCAGGTAACGGACTACATTCATGCTGATGTATTGCAAAGATGCTCTGGCATCTTCTCTGTGAAACACGCAGACTGATTTCCTTCACTCATTGAACTGTTGGTGAAATAGATGCTACTATGACATGACTCTGTAAAGTCTTTTGCAACCCATGGATACATCAAAAGGCTTTGTTCTCAGCAAATTCAGAACTGTTGTCAAGTTTTGGCCAACTTGGCTCACTGGAAAACTCAACTCCCCATCAGCAGGCTTGGCTCGGCTGTCATGAAGGCATCAACGCAATACATTATCTAGGGTGTGTGACAGAGAACTGGTGTTAGAAAGATGTGCTGACTGCTGTGTTTCCAGAGAAAATTGCCTTTCCCTCTGAAATAACTGACAGAGAGCTAGTGCTTGACTGTCCCTGGCTGAACACCTCCGCTGCCCCTCCTCACCACCCCACTAGCTTGGTGAGAAAGTCTCTTCGTCGCTAGGTGTGATCAGGACCCAGTCTAAAGATCTTGACTATATCTACTACTTATATCAGAATATACCACTCTCTATGTCTCATGAGCTCTCAAAAAACAAATGATTTTTATTGTTTAAAAAGATGCATAAACAGTAACCTTAGTGACAGTGTGGGCCCAGATTGCAAACCCTCATCTGGAATGAATAGATCAAACTAGCTTTTCACTCCATTTTGCTCAGTACTAACAGAACCTATGGGATTTCCTGCAACACAACTAATTTGTTGAGATCCATTAAAAACTGTATGTCGCACTGAAAAGTGGATGAAGGGAGACGTCGGACAGGGCAAGATATGGCAAAATACCCATTTATAAACTATCAAGGGCTCATGCGGGAGTGGGGAGCGGGGAGGGAGGGGGAAAAATGAGGACCTAATGTCGGGGGTTTAAATGGAGAGAAAATGTTTTGAGAAACGATGTACAAATGCGCTTTACACAATTGATGTGTGTATGGATTGGGATAACAGTTGTATGAGCCCCTAATAAAATGTTTTAAAAAAAATTGTATGTCACAGACCCATTTGAAAACTCAACAAACATTTTCATTTAATATAGCACTGAATGCTATGAAGGAGACCAGAAAGGAAAAGTATAACAGGAAACTGATTATGGAAGCAATCCAACAAATCTGTTTGATGAGATTGAACCAACAAATGATAGGACATAATGTATTAACCACCAAGTAATAACAAATTATAAGAAAAAAAGAAAGAAAAAACATAGATCCAGAAATGGGTTTGGGGTTCACACCAAATCCTAGCTCCAACTTAAGAACAATTAGTTTTTACATCATGGCCCTGCTTGACACTTGTCCTCAGGAAGAGAACACAGAAGATACAGGTGCTATAGCAAAGTGTAGCGAAGAACGTAGATGATGCCTGGCTATCAGATAAAATAGCATCAGAGCCTAAATTGTGAGAATCCATGTACAGAAGGTGATGGATGACGGTGGGAGCCCAAGACTCATTAGGAGATAAGTCTTCAGAGAACTCCGTCTACCTACAATTGAGGGATGAGAGGAAAGTGGTTACTAAACAGAGAGCTTTGGAGAGAGGAGTATAGAAGATCAAAGGTATAAATCTGACTCGAACTGTTAAAATTTTGTCAGTAGATCTCCCCTTCGATACATCTGGTTTCCAAATTTTTCCAGATTTCCTGATCTGCTTTCCAAAATTTTCTGTATTTCCTGATATGGTTTCCAAAATTTTCTGTATTTTTGGTCTGCATTGTTTTGTTTGTTCATATTAGGGAGTATCTCAAAGGTGTCTTGTTATTAGAAATCACCCTCTTGAAGTTGCGTTACATGTTTTCCTATTTTTCAATATGTGAAACCCAAGATTGATGCCCGTATAGAGACAGCAAATAGAATAAGGATTTGGGGGGGGGGTACAGTAGTGGAGGTTGGAGGGTGAAGGGGAGATCATGTCAAGGAATCCATGTAAAAAAGGAATGTTTGGAAACTGTGGTAGCAATCGTACAATTCTGCTTGACATGACTGAGCTACAGAATGATATGACATATATTTTAAATGGATTTTTAAAAGACAGAACTGAATCATAAAAAATTTCAATGGCACTACTTGCTAATGTAGCAAAACTATGTAGGGTGGTAGAGACAAAAAGAAGGACCAAGACAAATAGAAAGTCCCACATCCAGCAAAGGACAGCAGTCCACAAACCACCACTTGCTTGTCGTACTGTGGGGCTTGTGTGTTGCTGTGATGCTGGAAGCTAAGCGACTGGTGTTTCAAATGGCAGCAGGATCACCCAAGGGGGACAGGGTTCATGGAACGCCCAGGCTCAGAATGAATAGGTTGTGCACTTCTGAGGGATTCGTCACCTTATGAACTTATGCACAGCTGCACGACCTTGTCAGCCATTGTGCCAGGAGACGAGCCCCTGAGGTCAGAAGGGACTCAGACGAGGAGGAGAGAAGAAACGCTGTCTCTGCCAAGGAGGGTTGGCGCTAATGGGGTGGACGGAGTAAAGCTTTGGGGATGTTCATTTGCTCATGATAACAACTCAAAATGAGAAAGAAATAGCTGCAAATATCTATTAATAGTCAGAACAGAATGCATGAGTCTAGGAAAATTGGAAGTTGTCAAAAATGAATTGGAATGCATACACTCAGGCATTGCTGAGTTGCAATGGGCAGGTCTTGGCCATTTGGAATCAATCATTTGGTTTACTAGGCTGGGATCGACAAATTCCTGGTGAATGGTGTCATATTGACCATCAAAAAGCACTTTTCAAGATCTAGCCTGATATGCGATGCTGTTGGGGATAGGATAATCTCTATTCACATACAAGGAAGTCCAGTTAATACAGCTATTATTCAAACTGACCACAGAAAGCACGAAGACTAGTGAGGAAGAACTTGAAGAATTCTACTAACTTCTTCAGGTTCAAATTGGTCCAACATGCCATCAAGATGCATTAACAATGACTGGTGACAGGAATGTGAAAGATGGAAACAAAGAGGAAGGAACAGTAGTTAGAAGATATAGCCTTGGTGACAGAAACTAAGCTGGGAATTGCATGACAGCATTTCTCAAGACTACTGATGTCTTCATAGCAGACATCATTTTTCAACAACATAAACAGTGACTATACACAAGGACTTCACCACAGGAGGTATACAGGAATCAAACTGACTACATCAGTAGAAAAGGATGATGAAGAAACTGGATCTCTGCAGCCAAAATGAGGCCAGGAGCTGACTGTGAAACAAACCTTCAGATGCTCATATGTAAGTTCAGAGTGAAGTTCAAGAAAAAGAAAACCAGTCCACATATGACCTTCAATATATCCCACTTGAGGTTAGAGAACATTTCATGGACAGATTTGGCACATTAAATACTAATGACCAAAGACATGTTGGACTGTGAGATGACATCCAGAGCATCACACACGAAGAAAGCAAAAAACCATTAAAAAGACAAGAAAGGCTGGTGTGCTTCTTCCACGTGGGCTTTGCTGCTTCTCAGCTAGATGATCGCTTGTTTATCTCCAAGCCTTTAAGACCCCAGACGCTATATCTTTTGACAGCTGGGCACCATCAGCTTTTCTAATCACATTTGCTTATGCACCCACTTTGTCTTCAGTGATTGTGTCAGGAAGGTGAGCATCACAGAATGCCAGATTGTTAGAACAAAGTGTTCTTGTGTTGAGTTGAGGCCAATGTCCATCTGCAACCTTAATTCTTAACATATATACACATATACATATACATTTCTATCCCCCTCTCATTTTATATATATATATATATGGCTGTACTTAGGCCTCTATAAATGTCCTCTGCCTCCTGGTTCATTCCTCTATTTCCTTTTACTTTCCTCTTGTCCCACCATCATGTTCGGCCTTCATTCGGGTTTAGTAATTCCTCGCTGCTGTATTGCCCTTGATTAAGCCACACTAGGCATCCTATGACCTTCCTTCCATTGATTTTATTCCACTTGTTGTTCCCTTGTCCCTGGGTTGGTTCCCCATCCCCCCTTTCTCCCACCTCCCTTTCTTCCGTATCCGCCCCTGAATCATTGGTCCCATTATTTTCCTCTCTGAATTATTTATCCCAGTTATCTAATCTAGATAGACATGCAGATACATTAATAAGTGCAAAACCCTGGCAAAGCCAAATAAAATACCAAAGGAAGTCAAAACCAACAAAACGATAACAACAACAACCCAAAACAAAACCAAAATAACAATAACAAAAAGAAAGCCACTGACAAAAATGGAAAAGCCTACAACTAGTTCAAGGTCTGTTTGTTGGCCTTTACGAGTGTTTTCCAGTCGAGTCTGATGGGGTGCCACACTCTGTTTCCCAAGTCTACTTTTGGTATTCCCGGGGATGTCATCACTCTGCTCCCCCTGCTGCTCTGCTGCATGCTCTCAGTGCCTCACCCCAGCGTGATGGGGCCAGACCGTGCACTATTCCTGCACTGTGTCTCCTGTGCTGTCCCCCAGTGCCATGTTTCAGTAAGGGACGCTGTGTCCCATGGTGGGTCCAGCCCTACGGTCCTCACTGTGTGTTGTCTGCTTCGAGCAGGAACATTGTCCTCAGGGATTGGTGGGCCAGGATGTCCTTTCCTCCCTCTCCATCCCTTTGTGTTTCTCCCACGTACTCTAATCCGACGCACTCCTCTCCTCAAGCTGTAGCCCCAGTGCTGTCCTCTGAAGTGCATTCTTCTGAGGGGGGGTTGTGTCCACATAGTTGGGATTGGGACTGGCCCAGCAGACCTCTCAGAAGCAACAAAGCCCCCATGGAAGAAGCACAACAGCCTGTGTGATCATGAGGTGTTGATGGGATCAGGTTCAGGCATCTAAGACCCAGAACAAAACCATACCCAATGTAATTGGGGGTAGAGGGGGCATGGAGTGGAGACCCAATGCCCATCTGTAGACAATTGGACATCCCCTCACAGAGGGGTCACAGGGAAGAGATGAGCCAGTCAGGGTGCAGTATAGCACCAATGAAACACACAACTTTCCTCTAGTTCTTTGGTGCTTCCTTCTCCCTACTATCATGACCTCAATTCTACCTTACAAATTGGATTAGACCAGAACATGCACACTGCTACACATAAGAGCCTGAAACACAGGAAATCCAGGATAGATAAACCCCTCAGGGCCAACAATGAGAGTAGAGATACCAGGAGGATTAGGGGAGGCTGGGGGGAGGAAGGGGGAATTGACTACAAGGATTGATCTATAATCCCCTCCCAGGGGGATGAATAACAGAAAAGTGGGTGAGGGGTGACAGAGGATGATGTAAAATATGAAAATAATAATCTATAACTTATCAAGGGTTCATAAGGGAGGGCAGGTGGGGGAGTGAGGGCCAAGAAATGGGGAGCTGATATCAGGGGCTCAAGTGGGAAGAAAATGCTTTGAAAATGATGATGGTGGCATATGTGCAAATGTGCTTGACACTGGAGGAATGTATGGATTGTGATAAGAAATATAAGAGCCCCCAATAAAAGTATTTGAAAAAAAAAAAAAAGGAAACATCAAAGTGGATGTCAGGATGGACTCTAAAACTTGCATTTGAATGTAGAGTAGCTAAAGAAAATGGAAGAAATTATGAAATAAAAGACCGAAACAGGAGGGAAAAAAATCTTGAGAAGACAAAGTAAAGTATTATAATGTAATGTGCAAAGACTCGTTCAAGGGAATACTGTATGGTTTAAAATCAGGAAATATGTGCATCGGGGTTGCATCCGTTCCCCATACTTAATCAATCTTTTATGCTGAGCAGTATTCCCAGAAGCTGAACTATATGAAGAATGAGGCTTCAAGATCGGAGAGAGGCTTACTGACTACCAACACTATGCAGATAACACAGCCTTGCTTTCAGAAAGCCAGTAAGATTTGAAGTAGCTGCTGATGAAGATCAAGAACTGCAGCCCTCCATAATTTTTGCAACTCACTGTAAAGAAATCCCACATCCTCGTACCTGTATCAATAAAGAACACCACGATAAATGGAGAGAAGATTGAAGTTGTCCAGGCTTTCATCTTGCTTGGATCCACAACCACTACGTATGGAAGCAGCAGTCAAGAAATCAAAGAAAGTACCGCGTTGGCAAAACATGCTCTCCAGAAGTCCTTAAAGTGTTGAAGAGCAAGGATGTCGCTGTGAGGACTAAGGTGGCCCTCACCGAAGCCGTAGGATGTTCAATTGCTCCGCATGCATGCGAAAGTTGGCAAATGGAAAAGGAAGACCGGGGAAGAATAGATGCATGTGAATTATGGAGCTGGTGAAGGATATTGACAGTACCATGTACTGCCAGAAAAACAAACAAATCTGTCTTGGAAGTCCTGCCAGAATGCTCTTTAGAGGCAAAGATGGTGAGACTTTGTTCATACTTTGGATACACTGTCAGGAGAGACTGGTCTCTGGAAAAGGACAGCATACTGGAACATAGAAGGTCAGCAAAAGAAGGAAGACCCTCAACACGGTGGACTGACACAGGGATTCTAAGAACGGGCTCAGACCCAACAACAATCACGGACAGTGCTGCAGGACCAGGCAATGTCTTGTTCGGTTGCACACAGGGTAAACCAGAATGCGTCGCAGGCTAAAAGTAAAGTTTTCATGGACTTGTCCACACCGGTGTTAGGTGCTGTCGAGTCAGCACATGTTGTACACAGCAACCTATGAACCACAGAACTAAATGCCTGGTGATTACCTTGGGAAAAAAAATCAGACATTGAAACCCCTCTGGATGGATTTGAACCTCCAACCTTTCCATTAACAGTCAAGCTCACCAAACATTGGCACAACCTTAGGACTTTAATCATGTGGCTACTATTGTGACAAGTGCACACACTTTTCTTTGAGAGACACTATGCTGGGTTTCAATGATAAAAGTATGCAGTCCCCAACTCTGTGAAAGTGTATGCAAAGTGAACTGACAAAGCAGAAAACACTGGCGCCAAATAAGCCCAGATAAAACATACATGGAGAAGTCAGAATCTTTTATCCAGCTAATACCACTCTTTGATCTCCCTCAGGAGTAAGGAAGCCATAGACAAAGCTGACCTATAACTAAATCAGTGGTAAGTGCTTTTCATTAAAAACAGGCTTTGTACATATAACTGAGTTTTAACTATTGAAGTTGTCATCCACTGAAGTTACACTTATTCTAGAAGTGCTGCCAGAGTCCAGGTTACCTTATTTAGAAATATCCCCTTGGTCAGCCTTGCTATTTCATTTTAGCACTTTAATTTCCCCGTCCAACAGCCATACTCAAATCTATCATCCCTCCCCAGTTTGAGCTTTAATTTATTTTCAAATGACTAAGAAGAATGAGAAAATAGAAAAGTGATGGAGAAAGAAAGAGGAGAGGCAGGAAAAGGAGTTCCTGTGAGTTGTGGCCTCAAAAGCTCCCCTACGATGGCAATTATGCCACAGATTGCCAGTTCTCATAGACCCATCTGCCCAGTTGCTCAGGGAAGCCAGGTTGCAGTGGGGAGAGTAGAACAGGGAAAAGGAACCATTGTTTCACTCCTACAATTGGACTCAGTCCAGAAAGAAATCTACAAATCACTTGAACTTGAGACATCTAGAAAATAAGCACTTTCCTCAGAATTACAGTTTAGATTGGGCTCCTGTAACATGAAAAGGAGGCAGTCGGACAGCTGAAAATAGGATATGGTGACTCAGGGCATATAAACTCCAGAGATTGAAGTAGCCTGAAGGAATGGGTTGACTTGCTGGTCTATCCAATACAAGGGGTGGGAAACGGCCCGATTTGTGCCAGGGACAGTCCAGGATAGGATTTGTCAGAACAAAATAGCCACGTGAAGAGAGGAAGGAAAAGGAGCAGGATGGGTTATTCTGCTCTAGGTTGTGAACAGTCTAAAACCAAGAAGGAACAACTCGTCATACAAAACTGGACATCAGTCTGCATCTTCTATATCTACCTTTGCTCAGTCAGGGGACATCGACGGGTGGTCACTGCCCAAGGTCATTCTTGTGCTCACAGAGCCTTTTGCTGCCATCCCTTTAAGATGGGGGGTGGAAGGTGGTTGAGGTGGGAGTGGTGTGTGGAGACCAAGGGTGGCACTGGAGGTCCGCCTGGCTCTCACCCTTACCTGTGCGGACCCCATACTTCAGGGTATCCCTGCAGTCAACCAGGATCTGCTCCAGGGATTCAGGGTGGTCAGACAGCTCCAAGTTGAAACCTTCCATGCCTTCTAGCAACTGGTGCGGGTGGTGAAAGTCCAGCACCTTGGTGGAGCGGTCGAAGGTCTTGCGGACATAGTTGAGGAGTATGTCCACTACCTCCAAGAGAAACTGCACTGTTTGCTCTTCCCCATTCTTTGCTGGAAGCAGATCTGAGGAGGCAAAGCCAACAGGTTATTATCATCTCACTCATACCTCACTCTCCTTGGCCCAGACATCCCTAGAACCGGACACGATATTTTGTACTGGCTAAATACCATTTCAGGACATGCAGGATAATCTGATATGACACATTCTCAGCTAAAAGCGCCTAGACACTTACACAAATATTTTGCATGCACTGTCTGGGGTTCCGGGCTTTCTGCTTTGAGAAGCTGTGAGCTCCCCACCCCTGTAGTTGTCATCTGCAGACCGCTGGGAACTTATCCCAGTGGAGGGTCCTTCCCCCTTGCTCTCCTGCTACAAGGTGTCTCAGACACAGGGCTTTTGTTTGGTGTTGTGACATGCTTCATCTGCTCTGTGGGGAGGGACTGTGATCTCTCCCCAAATGGTGGTCCTTTATGGTTTCCTCAAACCGGAAATAAGTACTAGAAGGTAGACTTGGAAACTACTTCATCTCTCTTGACCTCATCCTTTTGGGATGTCTGGAGATGACTAAGCATCACCTGGTGGTTCAGGAGATACGGCCTCTGCTGGGCAGAATCAGGCTGCGTGGATAACGGGGGAATGCTGCAGGTGGCCCCAGCTGAGGGTGTCAGCCATCGCACAAGGGAAGGCTATCAAGCTACACATGGTGCTCTGTGTCCATTCCCAGGATGCTCTCTGAGTTTTTAAGACAGTCTATTTAAACCCCTGGTGAGTTCCCTTTGACCACGGACCACAGATGTGAACAGCCTTGCTATCAGGTAGAACGCATTGGGAAGTGGATTGTTGCAGATGCAATTAGGTTAAAATTTATCACCCTATCATTTGATCGTCCTTATAATCCATGTAAATGTGTTCTAGCTTTTATTTTCTGCCTTTTCAATTGAAGTTTTAATCTGTTATTGTTGTTAGTTTTCTGACTTAATGTTTTCCTGTATGGGAAATCCGGGATAAGTAAATCTATAAAGACAGTAACTGGATTAATGATTCCTTGGGGTATGGCAGAGGAGATTGGGGGGAAGTGGGGAGCTAAGAACGGTGAGTACAAGAATGAAGAAAATGTTCGAAAACTGATTGTGGTGAATATTGTGCAACTCTTCTTGATGTGATTATAACTACTGAATTACATGCCAATAAAATGGTTGGAACGAAAAGTCTTAATGTTCTGGTTCGCCGCTTGTGGGATGATGGGCCTATCTTTGGTCTGCTGGGGGGAGAGGGGGAACACTTCTCAAGACCAATGTTTCGGGAACAGCAGTAATCGGTCCTCGATCCCCAAAGGAAAATTAATTTGAAGATAGGCCACTCACAGCACCTCTGGGAGCTAGATGCGCTTAGGGGACCCACTCGAGGTCTTGTGAGTAAGGTTCCTTCAGGTGCTGCTGTTCGAGGACTCCCATCCATCCTTCCAGTGTCTGAGAGCGGCTGTTCTAATAATTGACTATTTTATTCCCCGCCTTCGTCTATATTCCAAATGATGGAGGCTGGGAGAATATTATATCCCAGCGCCCAGAAGGGCATTTCGTGAGAACTCGGAGAGACTAATGGCACATTTTGTACGGTAAAGGAAGCAACCTTTCAGGGAGAAGTCACGAAGCGCACATGAGGACCGGCCGGGAGAGCAGCAGGCCCCGGGAGGGAGAGCACTACCTCGGGCAAACAGGTTGGAGAAGTCAGTCTCTGTGCGGCGGAAGCGGGCATCGCGGTCACTGTTCTCACAGGGGAGCAGGTTCTTGGAGGACTGCCTCTCCTTGAAGGCGCTCACCAGCCGGCTCTTCTCTTCTAGGCTGTTGGTCCTTTGCAAGAAGCCTATGGCAAAAGAAGTTTGGTCAGAGGAAGTGAGCCAAGCTACCCTGCCTCCAAAGGTCCGTTACTGGGTCCGGCTTGATTCTCCAAGCCAGGTTCCCGCTTCTCTCATGCAGTCTAATGCCTGCCCTTTACATATAGTGGCTCTGACACTCCTCGCCTTCAGGCGGGAAGTGGGCAGTGCCAAGTGTCATCAATGGCACAGACCCAGTCATGCAAGAGAGACAAAAAGTAAGTGATGCCCATTCTGTTCTCTGAACGTGACCGTGAACTCAGATTTAAGTCGACTGGACAGCTTCCACTCCAATAACCAGCCCCAGGATGGAGTTTTAAGGGAAGGGAGGCAATCAGAGAGGATTGGGTCTATGGGCCGTGCAACCAGGGGAGGAGGGAACAAGGACCAGTAGGGAGAGGATCGCGGGGAGGATCGGCATTGGGGATTAGCGAGGATGCCATCCTCCAGCACCAGTTACTGCTCACAGGCTTGAGGATAAGGGTAAGTTTGGGACCCAAACCGGAAGGGCACCTTCCCCTGTACTGCCCGATCTCTTCGACAAAGATATTGGAGAAAAAGACAAGAAAGACTTAAAATCTATGTGGTGACTCTAAATTCTATAAATGCTCATTGAGCATCTGTTGTTCAAACTAGGCATCTGTCCTGGAAGCACAGCGGTTGTGCGCGGTTGGCCTGCTCACTGAAGGTCAGCAGTTTGGAACCACCAGCTGCTGCATGGGAGGAAGATCAGGCTTCCCATTTCCAGAGAGAATCACAGGCTCAGAAACGCATAGGGGCGGTTGTCACCCATCCCGGAGGGTCTCATGACTTGGAATCAACTCGATGACCATGAATGTTTTAAATGTTGTTGAAAAATGCTGTTCTAAGCTTTTAGGATGAAGAAAGCAGATACGGAGATTTTAGACAGAGATCTTTTACCCCCAATACCTTACACTCTAGCAGACAAGACAGACACCGGTGTGCTTTTTGATGATGACCAAGGTTATAATCAGACAGAGAGGGATAAGAGAGAGGGACTCTGAATCCAGTTTCTAACTGGCCGCTCAGAGGGAGTGCAAAGCTCTCCCATCCTGAGAAGAACACAACAATCACAAAGGACACCAGCGACAAACGAGAGGAGCAGGGCTGAGCCAAAGGGCTGAGAAGCTGCCAACTCCACCTCCGCTCATACCCTCTGGGTCTCCTGGCCTGCAAACCCGCTCCTTCCCTCAGCATCCTCGCCTCCAATTCAGCCTGGATCTTAGCCCAAAGTGCAACATACTTTTAAGAGCTCTAAGCTCTAAGCTTCCGGTGACCCCCAAGCTATCTTTGTCGATAGCAAGATCCTTGGGGAGTCACACACGTCACCATGCAGGCGTGGAAGCAAGACTCAGGAGGCGCAAGGAAAGACAAGTTAATCTGGGGAATTCAGCTTTACTTCCCCAGGACAGCAATTCCATGGCGATGGGTGCAGGAGGGAGGGATGCAGGGAAAGGTTTCGGTGATTAGAATCCTCCCACACAGAGGAGCCAGGATCTATTTTTGGAGGGAGGACTAGGAAGGCACAGGCGCCAGGCCCTCCATGGTTCCCAGCACCTTCTAAACTCCTCCCTCACAAAAGTCCTAAAGGACATGGGGGCGGGGAGGGGGAGGGGGTGGTGATCATAGATACCACACTTAGATATCAAGATGGGGGGCATAGCCTTTCTGTCACCTTTTCTCCCACTTTCTGAAGTTCTCCAAACCAAGAGGCAGCCCACATTTCCCAGGAAGGAAGTGGCATCCGAGGATGTAGGAGGAATATCTGGCTCTTGAATTCTGAGATTGGTCTACTACTGAAATGTGTCAATGAGTAAGGTGACCAGATTTTAACACTGGTAAAGCGGGACACCATTGATAAAACTCATATCCTGGCGAAATGGCCACATGGCAGCTGAAAACTGTATACCCTAGCCTGTCGTGCATTCTTTCAAAAAACCGGGACTTTTAAAAAATGCCGTGGGACGCAGGAAAAATTGTTAAAAATCGGGACTGTCCCGCCAAAAGCAGGACATCTGGTCACCTTACAAGGAGGGAAGACCAAACTCGAGCAGCCTGCCTAATTTTCCTTGAAGTCCTACTCTCCAGTCCCCTGTCCTCTGGTTGGATTTGCACCTCAGTCCCCTGGGAAAAACTTCATTCTCCCTAGAGCTTTTCTAGGGATAGCTAGATAGCTGCAGGGAGCAGGGCGTTGATTTAGACTTTGAATAATAGCTCCAAAGGAGGTTTTGGCACAGGCACTCCAGAGATGTCCGAACAGGGCTCGGAAATAACAAGTACCACACAACGTCACAACTTGCATCTTATTCTAGGGCCACCCTGAACCACACTCTGACTACCATTGAGTTGATTCTGACTTGTAACGACACTATAGGACAAAGCAGAATTGCCCCTGTGGGTTTCTGAGACTGTCATTCTTTGAGAGAGTAGAAAGTCTCATCTTTCTCCTGGAGAGTGGCTGGAGGTTTAGAACTGCTGACCTTGTGATGAGCAGCCCAACACATCACCACGATGCCACCAGGACTCCTGTGCACCACACTAGGAATGAGTTTTTTTTCAATAAATCTCTGTCCTATAGGGTTCCCCCTATAAATCGTATTAAAAACAGCACCAGTATTTTACATTACAAATTGTTCAATTGTAAATATGAACATTTCGTGCATATTGTCTGGGTTTGCTTTTTTCACCCTATTTTCAAAGGTAATTATTTCTAAACTACTAGGAGCCTCAAAAGCAGTATATGACCCATGCCTTATGGGTTCGAAGAGGCCTGGAAGGGACCACACGTTTCTCCATATGGGAGATGACGTTGGGGTCAGTGCTTTGACAACTTAGCCAGCTCACCAAGGACAGAAGCAGGGGTGTCCCTGACACGGGAGCAGACTGTATTCTCTTGGCTGTAAAGGTTCGACTTAAGCTTGTGGGTAAGTTCAATATTCTTAAAGGCATAGAGGGAAACCCAAACTTCAGTTGCGTTCTATCTGTTTACAGAGCAAAGTCAAGGGACAACATGAGAAAACCCTGTCGTGATGGTACCTCGAGGCCAACGTGAGTTCCTGCTACACTTCAATGCAAAGGTCTAAAGGACCCAGTGTATGGTGCAGAGAGCGCATGTCCACCTAAAGGGAGCAGCCAGCATTTGGCTGCAGCCTGCTGTTTCCATGTGGGGCTTCCAGTTGTGCGCAGAGCCCAGGGGGTGGGTTGTGTGCTCTGGGTGGGCAGCTGCAGCTGCCTGGAGGAGGGGGCTCTTTTTCCAGTTTTTATGGACTAAAAGCACCCTGCCAGATCATCCCTTCCCCGATCCCAAGAATACCCAGAAATATAGAATATTTGAAGTCTCTCTATTTTTAAAAGTTAGCCACTAATACAATTTAAACACACCATACCACGCAGGCTAAATAAAACAGCTCAGGGTTTGTAACTGGCTGCCAGTCTGGGACATTTGCATAGTTAAACGATTGAGGTCCAGGATACACTGAGAAATTAGCAGAGCCCAGGGTCATAAGTTAGGGCTCTCTGGGTCTCATTCTATTTAGGCCATCCCACCACTGGGCAAGGTCAGCAGTTCAAACCCACAGCGACTCGCTCTCTGGGAGGATGGAGTTGTCTGCTTCCATGAAGATTTACAGTCTCAGAAACCCCAAGGAGCTGTTCTACTCTGTCCTATAGGGTTAAGAGTCATCTCAATGACTTGGGTTTGATTTGGGGTTTACCAAGTTCATGTTCGGGGGGCCACCCCACCCACCTTTCCTGAAAGGCTAGCTGATTACTCCATCCAGAGGCAGTTGTCTCCAGAACTAAGGGCATCCCCAGGGGCTTCCTAGCAATTTTTGGCTTTTAGTAGGAGAGGTGGAGGGCTGGATGTTGGAACAAGCTGAGGATGCTTAGTGGGGTTCCCAGTGACAATGTGTCTTGAGGCAGAGAGACCCCTTTGTCAGTCCCTTGCTGTCTTAAGGCGAGAGCTCAAACCAGCTCCTGCAGTTTGATCAAGAGGGCACCTTCCAGGCCCATGAGGGTCTGGGAGGCGAGGAATGGCCAATGTGTGTGGATCCAGGGTGGAAACTATTAACTGCATTTAATCCACATTGGGTTACAATGTAGGAGCCCTGGTGGCGTATTGGCTATGCATTAGGCTGTGCTCCAGGAGGTCAGCAGCCGGAAACCACCAGCAGCCCCGTGGGAGAAAGATGGCTTTCTGCTCCTCTTGTTAACCTTCAGGGGCAGTTCCACCCTGTTCTTTAGGGAGGGTCACTGTGCATGGGCATGGCTGGATGCAGTGGGTCTGAAGAGTTGTATGTGTTACAATGTATCGTCTGAGCTGGCTCAAAGGATGGAAAATAAGTCCTGGTGGCCTTTTGTTTCCTTCAGACTCAGACCTCCTAAGATGAAGCTTCTTAACCCATGGTCCCAAACTTTAGCCAAGGCAATTTCCTCCAACACACTACCCTGGCTTGTCTTCTTGTCCAGGGGGTTGCGAACTTTCCTGGAATCACAGAGCTTCTCCTGTAAAGACTTAGTCTCAGAAACCCAAAGGGGCAGTTCTACCGGATCCTATAAGGTGTTGGGATCTTTGGTTGGTGGGTTTTTGTTAGAGGGAAGGAACCCTGGCAGCTAGTGGGTAATGTTGGGGCTGCTTTGTGAATCCCCCAGCAGTGACAGCGGAGGGGGAAGGGGGGAAAGCTGTGACTGCTGGTTCCCTAGCGAGCAGTTCAGCTCTGTCCTATAGGATCCCCGTGAGCCGGAATAGACAAGGTGACAGACAGCAATGTAGGGTAGGAGGGGAGGAACAGAGAAGAAACTCTCTCTGTTGGATGGTGGGCCCCAATACTCAAGGGCTCTTCCCCCAGGACTTGCAGCAAAGGTGAGGAAGTCATGCTAATGTCGGCGCTACCTTTTTCAGGACCCATGGAAGCTCAAGCCCACTCTCTAAGGAATCCTTCTGCTAGCAGCCTAGGAGTGCTAACAGCTTTTCTTCTGGAAGACCTCCGAGAGAGCCAGCAGCTGGCAGGCAGCAAGAGGCGCCCCCCATCCTCACCCCCTCGGCCCAAGCCTGAACCAGCGGGCAGAGATACCTGAGGGCTGCCCCCTCGAAGCT